TCAATAACAAAACCCATTAAGGAATGTTAGGTAGAGAACGATAAGGAGGGTGTAAATATTAGATAAGTAGGGAACAGTAAAGAGGGTGTAAATATTAGGTATGCAGGGAACAGTAAAGAGGGTGTAGATGTTAGGTAGGGAACGATAAAGAGGGTGTAGATGTTAGGTAAGGAAGGATAAATAGGGTTAAATGTTAGGTTTAGGGAACGATAAAGAGGGTGTAAATATTAGGTAAGTAGGGAACAGTAAAGAGGGTGTAAAAGTTAGGTAGGGAACGATAAAGAGGGTGTAGATGTTAGGTAAGGAAGGATAAATAGGGTTAAATGTTAGGTTTAGGGAACGATAAAGAGGGTGTAAATATTAGGTAAGTAGGGAACAGTAAAGAGGGTGTAAAAGTTAGGTAGGGAACGATAAAGAGGGTGTAGATGTTAGGTAAGGAACGATAAATAGGGTTAAATGTTAGGTTTAGGGAACGATAAAGAGGGTGTAGATGTTAGGTAAGGAACGATAAATAGGGTTAAATGTTAGGTTTAGGGAACGATAAAGAGGGTGTAAATAAGACCCTTTATCTCAGTAGATAGTGCACTCGCCTGGCGTGCGAGAGATCTCGGGTTCGAGACCGAGAATTTAAAAAGTATCACCACAGAAAAACTCTGCCAAACAATGGACCCGCAGGTCCCGTATTCGCGTCCTATTGTCACAAACACGCGCTCTCCATTTTAAGGCCGTTATGAGGGAATCAGTTTATACTCTCTTAATCATTCCGTATTTAACATTTACACCCTCTTTATCGTTCCCTCAACCTAACTTTTACACCCCCTTTAGCGTTCCCTAAATCTATCATTTATACCCTCTTTATCGTTCCCTAAACCTAACATTTAACCCTATTTATCCTTCCTTACCTAACATCTACACCCTCTTTATCGTTCCCTACCTAACTTTCACACCCTCTTTACTGTTCCCTACTTACCTAATGGTTGTTAAAAGGAATAAGTATGATCTATTACTAGATGGCTCTCCATTCGTTAAAAACAAGACATTCAGAACAAACCTACTGTTCCAGTATTTCCAAACATCAAATCTGCGCACAACGTGTGACCAACCATACAGTCCAATGCTAGAACATATTACCGTACAGATCACAGCGAATGGTTTGTTTGTTTGTTTTTGAATTTCGCTCAAAGCTACACAAGGGCTATCTGCGCTAGCCATCCCTAATTTTGCAGTGTAAGACTAGAGGGAAGGCAGCTAGTCATCACCGCCAACTCTTGGGCTAATCTTTTACCAACGAAAAATGGGATTGACCGTCACATTATAACGCCCCCACGGCTGAAAGGGCGAGCATGTTTGGTGGGACGGGGATTCGAACCAGCTCCAGATAACCGGAACTTTAACTCCGGACATCAAATTGTGAGTTTATTCCGGTTTTTTTTTTTGTTGTTGTTGTTGAAGTTGTTGTTCTTTTGTTACAAAATCGTTTTGTTTATAAAACTGTTTGCATTGTACTTATACAATTGTAGCATAGCTTTGATTCGCCTTGCACTTTTACATTTCTTTCTTGAAGTTTTTTCGTCCAAAATTCCAAAAGCGACGATTCAGTGATTAGTGGTCTCGTTCTAATGGCCTGAAGATGTCCTCCTAAATTCACTAGGAACTATCCTAGGACATATCTTAACTCATTCTGAAAGAAATATAAGAACGTAATCCGGACACTGCCTTCTCCTTTTTTTATTCATACACTCCTTAATCGCTTTTCCGAATGGCTTATTTGTTGACGTGTTCAAGAGTTGTATTAATATTGATCGATTTAAGTACTAATTTAAATTCTTCGCTCGCTTTGACTTTGCACCCTTTCACGAATTCATTGGAAAAATGTATGCAAATACGATTGTTTTTTTTCATTCGTTCATGACGTTTTGTTTGAATTATGAAACTTATCAGCAACAGATATGCGCGTTTATTATATGACGGATAAAAGTTATATAAGTTCTTGTAAAACGTTCGTATACAAGTCGAAATTTAGATGTAATAAGGAGAATGATACGTTTTTAAAACAGTTGTTTCCTTTGAATTTGCAAGTAAGAGTTAATGACGTAAACCTGAAAGATGAGTTTCTGACCTTCTATGTAAGTAAGCTAAGCTAATCGCTTGAATTTGCAAGTAAGAGTTAATGACGTAAACCTGAAAGATGAGTTTCTGACCTTCTATGTAAGTAAGCTAAGCTAATCGCCACGACCGTGGGTTTCAACATGTTGTAGAAAACGTGTTTATCGCTTAGTTTCTTAAGTTTGACTTTTAATATGTTTGTCACATTCAAATCTAAGCGCGTTAATCATAGTGTCAGTGCACTTTATATGTAGGGATGGCCAAGATACTCAATAGGCATAATACAAATATACAGCTAAAAAATAAACAACGACAGAGAGTTTTACTTTAAACGATGATAGCCACTCACTTTCATTTGTTTCTCTACTCAACAAGACCAAAAACAAAGTAAGAAGCCATCGCTAATATACCGAACCAGAAAGTGACCAACCCACCAAAGTGTTCATCTTTCTTCTTGTTGTTTCAGTCGAGATATGTCTACAACTACTTTATCACTAACGTTAGTTTAAACCTAAGTCCACTCTATGTGTTTATGGGTAGTTGCATGATATCATCGCTTAGTCGTAATAACTGGTAGTAATTTAAAAAAATCATAATTCTAGTGTAAACGATGTTATTAATACCCCTTGGAGTTAGCTTTTGTTACAGAAATCTGATGCTCCTGTCAAAAGCTTAAGTACAGGGTGAAACAGGAATTACCAGTCAATAATAGATGAACATTAGATTATTGTAACATACAGAATATTCAATGCTTTGTACACTATACAATCGGTGTCTTTAGGGAGCCAAGCCCTATAGTATATATAAAATTAAGGTGTAACAAAATAAATCAATACACATAATATTAAATTTTACTACACACATTCATAGAATACACCAACTTTCAGTCAGGGCGGGAAAAACGTCCCAAAACAAGTAATAAAAAACAGTGCCGAAAAGAATGCAATCTAGAATATAGGGTATAGGGATAATACAACTATAACGATGATCTATGTTTAGCTGTATTATCCCTATATTTTTATTTCTATTCTTTTTGGCACTGCCATCCCTACATCATTTTACATTTACACAGTGTTTTTATTACTTGATTGTTATTTGTTGATATGGACAACCTTTAACTTTTGACCTTTTTATATGTTTGTCACATTCAGAACTGTGTGCGTTAATTTGTTATTGATTGATATGGACAACCTGCCTCGTTTCGACGCTGTTGCGTGTATCCTTTTTAATTTTCAAACAGTGTTAATTAATTTAGCTTTGCATTGTGAATTTGGTACGAAAGAAACGCGACCTCTGACCTTAGACTGATAAAAACAATCCATTCGGTGAGCTGCCAATATCGATCAGTTCGTGGCAGTTAGTGATTGGAGAAAGCTACAGTGGGTTCTTCCCAACTGGAAGGAACCATTGTGATCCTCTGGTTGCACCAATAAGAAACGCCCTCTAGGTATCTTACTTCACATTAGTTGAAAGTGTGCATGGTCATTCATGGATGGACACTAAAAAGGGCATTGTTTCAGTCGTATAGCTGAGTCAAACTAGCTAGTTGAATAGACCTTTGTAATAACAACTACACCAACGTACCTAAGTATAGGCTTTAAGCGGATACTTTTATTACCAGGTTCGAGAGCTGGCCATCTTAAGATTAAATAGATATTAAAAGAAAAATATACTTTTGAAAGGTTTTGGTTTAAATTTCGAGCAAAGCTACACGAGGGCTATCTGCGTTAGCACTCCTTAATTTGGTTGTGAAAGACTAGAGGGAAGGCAACTAGACATCACAAACCACCGCCAACTCTTGGGCTACTCTTTTACTAACGAATAGTGGGATTGACCGCCACATTATAACGCCCCCACGGCTGAATGGGCGAGCATGTTTTGGTGGGACGGGGATTCGAACCCGCGACCCGCAGATTGCGAGTCGAGCGCCCTACCAACCTGACCATGCCTACTTTTGAAAAGAAACTGTATTTCATCAAACGAGTTATATACCTATACTAGTTTCGACACAATGATGCGCCCTCTT